GAGGAGCAGCGGCTCTACTCTGAGTCCCTCCAGGATGACCGAGCTTCTCACCCTATCTCTAAGGGAGAGCCCAGCCACCCTGCAGAGGAAACTCATTTCAGCCGCTTGTATCCACAATCTCGTTCTTTCAGCTCATGACCATAGATGAGGGTAGGAATATAGACCGATCGGTAAACGGTGAGCTTCACCTTCTGGCTCAGCTCTCGCTTCACCACGACAGACCGGTACAGCGCCCGCATCACTGCAGACGCAGCACCAATCCGCCTGTCCATCTCCCGCTCCATTCTTCCCTCATTTGTGAACAAGACCCCGAGATACTTAAACTTCTCCACTTGGGGCAGGACCTCCTCCCCGACCCAGAGAAGGCACCCTACCGTTTTCTGGCTCAAGACCATGATCTTGGATTTGGAGGCACTGATCCTCATCCTGGCTGCTTCACACTCGACTGCGAACCGCTCCAGTGAGAGCTGCAGATCACGATCTGATGAAGCCAATAGGACCACATCATCTGCAAAAAGCAGTGATGCGATCCTAAGGTCACCAAAATGGATCCCCTCACCTTGGCTGTGCCTAGAAATTTTGAAAAAAATGTGCATTTCCTGAGAAAATGCAATGTGAATGCTGAAAGATTTTTTGCTGAATAGCTAAAAAAGGTGAAACTAGCCTTAAAATTTTTAAAAAGTAACTGAAATTGGCACAAAAAACTGAGAAACTGAATAGCTCATAAGTAAGCTTTTGTTTACATTATTTCCCACAGTATAATAATAAATATTTAAAATTATTTTCAAACAATATATTTTTGTTTATAGTTMGCTTCTGCTATAAATTGTGGTGTAGTTGACAAATTGTATTTATGAACCCTGTAAAGCTGTAAATTATTGCAATAATAGCTTATTTAAAAAAACAGAAATTTTGTTTCACATTTGAATAATTTTTGAACATAAAAAGATAGATTCATCCAGGAGGATGCTGGAAAACATTGGTTGGATTGGTTTAAGGGAGGATAAAACGAGTCCACTATCTCTCTTGTTTTTTTCCCTGCCATGACTACTGGTTTAAAGCTGGTCGCCTCATGTCTCCTCCTCCTCCTCCTCCTCCTCACATTCACCTCTCTGAGCTGAACACCAGCCAACGCTTCAGAGCACTCCTGCCCTGGGTGCGAGTCTCATGCCCGGGAAACGAAACAAAAACAAGGGCTTCACCTGAAAAGAGGAGCGAAGGACAGAAGAGCCGAAGAGGGCAACCCGCCGTCTCGTTTCATCGATGATCACATCTTCCCTCCAGACGAGGAGCTCTGCTTTTAAGGGAAAAATAACCTCCGACTGTTTTGTCACGGAGGTATGTATTTTGAATTTCTCTAAAGTCGTTTCTCTCACAGCTATGGGGCATAAAAATCATTGCCTTGCAGGAAACTATTTAAAAGAAAAGACTGAAACACGTGGACTGGTTGTTTTATATTTTTTTAGTTTTACATAAATAAAATTCACATTTCCTTTTAGGCATTGTGTGCATTATACTTTAACAAAAATGCATTTTATGCAATATTTAACTAGAAATAAAGGGTTTATTTTCTTTTCTGACTGGAGTAGAACTTTCAGAACCATGGACAGCTCTTAGTGCTGCATTAAAGTAGAACTTTCAGAACCACGGACAGCTCAGTGATGCATTAAATAACTTTCGGAACCATGGACAGCTCTTAGTCCTGCATGAAAGATTGTTCAGAACCATGGACAGCTCAGTGCTGCATTAAGAACTTTCAGAACCATGGACAGTTCTGTGCTGCATTAAAAAACTTCCAGAACCATGGACAGCTCTTAGTCCTGCATTAAAGAATGTTCAGAACCATGGGCATCTCAGTGCTGCATTACAACTTTTCTTTTTTAACAGATATTTTTGAATAAATCTGTGGTTTTTGAATTTGAATTCTATTACTACTTAAAAGGCAATATATCTTACAGCTGTTAACTTTCCCTTTACACTAAAAATAGGAGTATTAAAGCTGTTTTGGTGACTTCCATTGCAACCAAAAATTTTATTTATTAAACTTTTTGTCAAAATGTTTTTTAAATGTTATTTTAAATCAAGGTTTTCTAAATTTGATAGAAACTATTTCATGGAAACTGATCATTTGTCACTAAAGAGCAGATATGGTGATAATAAGGGGGTGATTTTAGGGTGAACTTTTTGGGATATTAAATCTATTTGACAGGTGGTCCAGAAAATTTTCTAATAACTCCCTGTAACCTTCCTGTACTAAAACATTTTTAGCCTTTCTTAATAACTGGTTTGCTTTTTCTACTGTACATTTAATGTAGAAAGTCAATCCTCCTTTCTTTGTGTCTTTGCTCAGGACAAAGAGCGGAGCAATGAACGAGTCATTGGTGAACGACTCATTTGCGACTCCCTCGGCTGGAGAGTCTCTCCCGTGGATGGAGGCTGAGTCGTTCAACCACAACGGCAGCTTGGAGTTCTCCACCGCGCCGTTTGAATTTCCCATCAACCCGTGGGACATCATGTTGTGCATGTCCGGCACCGTCATTGCCTGTGAAAATGCCATAGTGGTAGCCATCATCTTCTACACGCCCACTTTAAGGACTCCCATGTTTGTGCTGATCGGGAGCCTGGCCACGGCAGACCTGCTGGCCGGCATGGGATTAATCCTGAACTTTGTGTTCCAGTACGTCATCTCCTCAGAGACCATCAGCCTCATCACAGTGGGCTTTTTGGTGGCGTCCTTCACCGCGTCCATCAGCAGCCTTTTGGCCATCACCGTGGACCGTTACTTCTCCCTCTACAATGCCCTGACGTACTTCTCGGAGAAGACGCTGCGGTACGTGCACCTCATGCTGATTGGGACCTGGGGGGTGTCTCTGTTGCTGGGCCTGCTGCCGGTGCTCGGCTGGAACTGCCTGCATGAGCCGGCCTCCTGCAGCATAGTCCGCCCTCTGACCCGGCGCAATGTCATGCTCCTGGCCATCTCCTTCTTCACCATCTTCGTGCTCATGCTGACCCTCTACTTTAAGATCTGCAAGATCGTGTGCCACCACGCACACCAGATCGCCCTCCAGCAGCACTTCTTTGCCACCTCACATTATGTGGCCACCAAGAAAGGCGTGTCCACGTTAGCGATCATCTTGGGGACTTTTGGCGCCAGCTGGCTCCCTTTCGCCATCTACTGTCTGGTGGGTGAAAAGGAGTATCCGTCAGTGTACACATATGCTACGCTGCTGCCTGCGACCTACAACTCCATGATCAACCCCATCATCTACGCTTACAGAAACACCGAGATCCAGCGCTCCATCTACATGCTTCTCTGTGGCTGCTTTCAGACCAACAGGGCATACCGCTCCAGGTCGCCGAGCGAGGTCTAAAACAAAGCTCCTTACATGTGTGTGTTTATGTGTGTGTGGGTTCGGCTTTGGTGATATTTGGGGGCAATTTTAAGACAAAAATCCTACATTTGGGGACAACTGGTGCATTTGGGGACAAAAGTCGAGTCCCCATTTGG